AAATTTTATTTATTAATAAAATAATAGGAAATAATTTATTTTAATTCTAGCATTTTTTTGCAAATATTTAATTAATTACAGTTTTCTAATGAAAGTTTATTTCTTAAAAAATTATATTTTGGGAATTGATTTTAAAAATTAAGTTAGTAAGAATAATGCTCAAAATAACAACGAAATTTGGTTGAAAAATTAATAAATTTTCGTACATTTTCAAAGTAAAATAATTTTTATTAATTTTATTTAATGTCATTTTGGGAATCTTTCGAAATTATTTTAATAAAATGTTCCATAAAGTTTTTACATTTATTTTTTACTTTACTTGCTACAAATTCTTTAATTTCTTTAAAAATTAACAAAACCTAGCGGAAACTTGCGCTCGCTACCCAACCCGAAAGTCCATTGACCGCAAGAAGGTGTGCACAACAACAACAAAAATTCTGGCTAAGGCAGCTATAAAAAATTACCTCTCTAATAGAGAGCTGACTTACGGCGTTGCGGGGAGGAGAGCAGTGCGCCGGCTGAAAATCAGCAACGCATGCACATTAATTTTAACTCTTTGCCGACACGTCGCCGTAGCGGTGTGCCTGCCTGCCACATGCAGGATGCAGCCAACGAAGCTGCGATGTGCACAGTGTCTGAAAATAACACACAGCATGGCATCGCATGTTGCAGCTTCACTACTCTCAAGCAGCAGCGGTAGCTTCCTGGTGCACACTCCTTTGCTGGAGATGGACCTGGACCGGTAATCCCCTCCGCACCGCACCGCACTGCACCTTTCCGCTTACATACACAATTATTATTGTGCTACGCCGCAGCGTTTGCTCTTTGCTGCCAATCCAATCAACAGGAAACCAATCATGCCACCAAATAGTTTAGCCGCACAGTGGGTGCAACAGCAAACAACAGCTGCGTCATAGCGGTGCGTCATTAATTGACATTGAAGCGTAGCCACAGAAATGAACGAAATATTAAAGAAGCGAGTGTATTTATGCGCCTCTCGTTTAATGCAAAATGCTTTACGCCAAGTTAAAGTGGCAGGCACGTACGCCTCTGTGCGGCGCGGCACAGTGGTGTGTGTGGTGGTAAAAAGTGTGTACATTTTTTTTTTTTTTTTTGAATTTAGAGGGACATTTTAATGTATTTTTCTGCGATTTTTTAGTATTTTTGGCGATCCGACCGATTCGATTTTAATAAACTTTTTTTTATTTTTTAAAGACATTTACTGAATTTTTCGAAAATAAATTCAATTTAAAATAGAATTAGGAAAAAAAGTGAACTTACGTTGCACCGAAGCTATAATTCCACTCAAAAATACGAAGCGTGCCTTAAAGGACTTAATTTTGACCGGTCAACTTGTATGGTCGCATTATGCTATAGTTATCCGATCACAACAATTTCTTCTAAGATTGCTCTGATACCTTGGACAATAATTTATGTCAAATTTCGTGAAGATATCTCTTCAAACAAAAAAGTTTTCTATACAAGAATTTAAGTCTGATCGTTCAGTTTATTTGACAGCTATATCCTATAGTGATCCGATCACAACAAATTTTTTGTAGATTGCATCAATGCCTTGGATAATAATCCATGTCCAATTTCGTGAAGATATATCAACAGATTCAAAAGTTTTCTATAAAAGAACTTAAATCCGATCGTTCAGTTTATGTGTCAACTATATGTATGTTGTAGTAGTTCGAATATTACAATGAAGTTTCTATGGAAGTTTGTCGATTTTTAAGGGTCTTTTAAACCATATTCAGTAGTTTGAGCATAGCAAAGCATCAGCGCCCTCAGCTGCCCAAGTTAAATCATTCGAAACCTTTTTTGTGAGGATGAATCCCTTTACCTAAAGATTTTAACCAGCGTTGTACTATATGCATACATATATTTATTTACTACTTTATTAAACATTTCTCTACGCAATAAGGCCAAAAATCTCATTTCCATTAATGCATTGATTTATTATCAACTATTTACCCACACTACACCAATGTGCAGCACTAGGGTTGCCTAGCATCTATTCCACACCCGGCCTATCTAGCCGACGCGACACGGCACAGTGGCCGTCAAGAAGCTCGTGCGTAGAAAAAGCTCACCGCGGGTGGTTTATTGTTGGCAAAAATGTGGCCACAGCCAATTCCTGTGGAGCGCGCAAACAATGAGCCAACCAGAAGCCAAGAGGATGCTCTAACCCATATATATATATATATACATAAATATATGGTATATTATATACACCTATTTAATAGCGTTGCATTTACCGATCGCAGTAAGCGCAAACGCCGCGGTGTGTGCCGCCCGTGGTTCATATCTACCTATAATTTCCGTCAGCCTTACTCCTTTGTTAAATGTTTTCCTTCATGGTAAAGCGACTGCCTTGGCCTTGCCACTTTAATGAGCACGTTGTACAATTTTATGCTTCGATTTAATTGAAAAAGCGTTTTTAGTACCCTTTTTACATACATTAAGTTTTCGTACGCCATTCTTCGTTTGGTAATTTTCTCTTTCTTTATTATTATTTCTGTCTTACTGAATTGTTTTCTGTCATTCACACATCATTTATGCGCTGTCCAGTCGAGTTTTCATGTCGTTTTGTTTAATAAAATCTCTGTTATGGTCAATTTGCAATTTTGTGTAAACAAAAGGAAAATTATTTACTATTTACATATTGTTGTCTATGTGAATAGGCATGAAGGCGTAAAGTAAATATGTTGGTAATTTGTTTTTTGCATAATTTATTTAATAAATATTTCGATTGTTGATTATTGAAAAGTGTTGAAATTGCGGTTGATTTGTTTACATACACACAAGGGCGACACAAGTCTGGCAACCCAATTCAGACAATTTTCTACATTCACTTTCATATCATATTCTCAAGTTCTTGTACGCCCTCTTCGTGCTCAAATAGCGCTAGATACGTAATCTTGA